GGCTGAGATGAGAATCGGGAGTATTCAGTTTTTCCATTCTAGAAAAAACACCATTCATCTTTTGTCTTAACCCTGAAAATACACTGAGAGCCTCTCCTACCCCCAAAATTTGGAAACCTATTGGATTGTAATATTATTGTTTTTTATAATATTCCTATAAGTGCTCAAGATCCTTGAACACTTGCTGTATACCCAGCTCTGTGCTAAATGCTTTATGGTCATCATTATAATGAACCTGAAGCTGGCATTATTACACAAATTTTACAAAGGGGGAATCAATGTTCAGACACATGAAGCTGAAGAAAGGATTTGAGCCCAAGCGATTGATCTTAAGCCTGGTGTCCTCATGCATCTTAAAAAAAAAAAAAAAAAAAAAGGAAGCAAACAAAGGCCCACTTGTACATATGTGTTTGTGTGTGTGTGTGAGAGACAGATAGACACACACCCACACCTACACACACCCACACACACACAGTCCATTTGATTAATAATTTGTAAAGTGCTGTTCCAGGCTGTCTTTGCAGTGCTCTGTGCAGCATGGCTGGTGGCTCCAGGGAGATGGGCTCAGCCCGTCCATCATAGCACCGGCCCCTCTTGACCTCCTAGCTGCTTCTGCTGTAGCCAGGTCTAAAATCACAGCAGCTCCTGCTCCTTCTCTGCTAGCTGTATTAGCTCTGTCTAGCTACACCAATCTTGAGATTTGCCTCATACTGTTCAAATTTCAAAAAATTGTGAATTGTAAGGTAAGCTTGAGAAACAAAACAAAAACATTCCCTGTACCTTTCAGGTCATGAGTCAGGGATAAATTCGGTTGAAGTTCTTAAAAAACAAAAGGCCAAAAATAAACCCGGGTTTCTTTTCCAGCTCATTTCCTGTGTTTAGAAGGAAAGGACCTAGTGTATTTTTGTTGTGGTGGCTTTGTTTGTTTTTGTCTATAGAGTGTCTTTGCTTTCTCTTGTAGTCATTTGATTTCTTTGAACAGTTTTCTCAACTGTCTTTAAAAGCTTTAGAAATTTACTCTCAGCCACTTTGAGTTTCTGTATTCTTAGGCAAGTTTCTTAGCTTCTCAGAGCCTCACTTGTACCATGTATAATGCCTGTAGATCTATCTGAATTAATTTCTGAATCAGAAATGAAGGCAGGCAGCCTCAGCCATGTGAGCGTCCCAGAATCCTCTCATTGCTTTGCCCCTGTTGTAGGAAATTACGGCTAATGTAGAGGTCCTTACTGCCCGTTGTAAGCCTGCTCTAGACAGAAGGAAACTAGCTAAAAAGAAAGTGGTTATTGATCGGTTTCCTGGTAAACTGATTCATTCATTTAGCAACAGTATATTGAGCATTTGCTGAGCACTGTGCTAAGGCAAGGGAGAAGCAAGAGCAGACAGCTGGTAGACCACCATGCTTCCATCATTATAATGCACTGTGGCCACTAAGCGTCTGTAAGCACAAGCACTGCCCAGCATGAGATATGCAGGAGCATGGCCCAGTTTCACAAGCCTGAGAAGGTTTTTGTTATGAGGTCTCTCCCAAGAGCTGAAGGCTCCATGAAGTTCTAACTGATTTTGTCCAGTAAAGATGATCCCAGAGTTGATTGTTAAGTCATTTCCATGGACCTACATTTTTATCATGTGCTTTATTTATTTATTTATTTTTGGCAGAACCGGGGGTTGAACTCAGGCCCTTGCGCTTGCCAGGCAAGCACTTATTCTACTGAGCCATCTCCCTGGCCCCTTATGTTGTGCTTTAAATGCAATCAAACTACATTGTAGGACAATACTATTTGGATTGGGATTGCCTTGATTTGAGTGCTGTGTCTAGCTGGGATAAGATGAGAAGGACCAACATTATATCATGTGCAGCCTACAACACATTTGTTTTGGGGAGAGGGGGGCTGAGCGTCAGGAGAGTGAACTGCACCGAATCTCCCTTTCTCTGGGTCTTCCAAATGCATGACCCAGATCTTGACATGTGTGGGTGACAGCTGCAAATTAGGTATTTATTTGGTCAACAAATACTTGTTTGCTGGCCAGTTGATGTATAACCCTCTGGGCCAGTTGATGTGTAAGACAGACAACCATATGACAGAATCCCTAACCTCGAAAGCTCAAAACAAGATCCAAAGATGGGTTTTCAGAATGCTCCTTATGTGGGAGGCCTGATACTCAGTGAATTTAATACATTATCTCAATCCTAGGTTATTCTATGTCTTTTATGGATGTGGAAACTAGAGCTTGATTTGTAGCCCAGAGCTTGCTTGTGGTCTCTTGGAGGAGGTGAGGCTGGCTTATGAGCCTGACCTGTCATGCTGCCAAGCCCTGCTGTCTCCCACATTGCCACAGCCACGAGACTGCAGTGCAGTGGCACGTGGGATGTGGTTGGTCTCAGGTCTCTGCTGTTGGAGAGTAGAAGACGGAATGTGGAGGTGCTTTCCGCAAGAGCTGACTTCCTTTCCATGTCACCTTTATTTAAAAGTGTAAATTGTATCACTTCACAATTAGCAGTATTTTCAGAGTTTTAAGACCTATTTCTTTTCTCATTCCATATCCCCTGCTTGTCTCGTGGGTTCTTTGTTGACCACTCCTCTGCCAACGATCAAAGTCTACCTTTCTTACAAAGCTTCTTCAAGCTGTCCTTCCTTTGTACTTGTTATCAGGAAACGAGTACTTAGGTCCATGTTTTAACTGTCTTTGTAGAATTTGAATCCTTTAAAGAGTAGACCTTACAGTTATGAGAATTAAACTGTATTAATTCTTATTACCATTAAATGCCTGTAAATGGAGCTATTCTTACTTTTTGTTCCTGTTCGATTTGTTCAGCACTCTCAGCAGTGTCTTTATATGCTTCTTGGAAAATGCTGGAGAAACTCTGTAAGCCAGTAGCCAAGGGTTCCTTCTGAGCTCTGAAGACACCCTATGCTGATAGTCTTAACTGACATGCTAAGTAGAAGCCAGGGCATTCATTGAGCCTGACTGCCCTCTTGCCTTTGGTCCTTGACACTCTCAGTGGGTTACTTTGTAGTCTTACCAGAGGTTCCTTAGACCATTTTGTCACAGTGAAGTGCTGAGCGGGCTGAGGGGTCACAGGGTAGCTTACTGAGCTCTGTGTCTGCAGGTAAAATCTCTGCTGTTGGCTAGTGCCTGGAAGTGTGAGATATCCCATACCAGGGCCCAGGGGAGAGAGAGTGAATAATCAGTGTTCACCTACCTCAGCTCTTGAGGGGAGGATAAAACACAGCATTGGGCACTGAATGTACTAGGGAGCCACACAAAGAACTTGGCTTTGCGGAGCTTGAGGTTCAGGTGAATCATCTCATTTCTTTCTTATAACAAGATCTGAAGAGAGGTGTCTGATTTTACTCACTTTACAGATGAAGAAACTGAGGTGTGGAATAACTGGCCCAACATTATAGATTTAAGTGCTGGAGCCATGTTGAGAACACAGGTAGTTTGTGCTCACAGCCGAAGCCATAACCCCTGCCTTAGTGGAAACTTCTACCAATATAGGTGATATAATTCAAATATGTAAATATGCAAGGTTATTTCTGTATATGTATATTCATTTAAATGACTAAATATGTGGGTATTCTTAGAGATAATTTCTAATTATATCATAATACTCATTCATTAAAGAAAACTTTGGAAATTCATAAAAGTTAAAATAGAAGAAGTGAGCCATTAAGCGTAATGGAATCGCAGTTGTTCCAACCTGTTTTCCTTCAGGTAAATAGGTAGCTTGATGTATCTGTCGAGGGCCACACAGTAGGTGTGAGTTTCACGCTGTTTTCTTCACCTGGTACTTCACACTGACACATTTTCATTGAACAAAGATCTGGCCTTCCTGTGCTCCCTCTGCCTCTCTGTTGTAAACACATGGCCCGCAGCTCCTGATGAGCACATTGTGACAGTGACAGTGACAGGGAAGCAGGGTGGAGCTAAGCCCAACGTGGAAGCATTGTGCTTCCCAGTGATGCTGTGAGCTGTATCTTTCCTCCCAGCTTTTCCTTCCCTCTTATCCTCTCCACTGAAGATCCCATTTAAAGAAAGAGTTTTAGGGGCTTCAGAGTGAACAAAACCCTGCACGAATGTGGTAAATGTTGGGTTGACAGACGTTCATGCCCATTTTCCCCTCAAAGGCATTAAGACCAAGTGTGATAGTCAGGGCAGGTGTTAACTTTCTCCTTTTGATGAATCAAAAAGCCTAATGCACACAAGATCTTCTCGAGTAACTGATGACTAGATAACAGAGGTTAGCAAGACCTGGGTTTCTTCTTCCTCGAAAAACACTCAGCTGAGCCTGCGTTCCTAAAGCTGCTCCCATCTTTGCCTCTGACCCTTCTCATTGTCCCCTTCTCAAGTTCTCCCTGTTTTGAAAGCCTTGCATCTGACCTCATGGTGTATCTGCGTGCTTATACATTTACAATTAACGAAACACACCCTGGAGTTAGGGATAGCTCAGTAGTAGGACACTTGCTTAGCATGCATGAGACCACGGTCCTGTGTCCAGCATCTCCCACCCCTGTAAAGCACATCCTTAAAGGAACCCCTGTTAGACAATGGGAATACACGAAAAATAATACAAACACAAAGAATGAATGATTCCTGAGCATTTCAATATACCAAACCAAACAAATGCTTTATAAGTCTGTCTCTTTATACTGCTACCACCCTGTGAAGCTTGCTGATTCAAGGGCTGTAACTGGAATTTAGATTTTAAAATGTTTAAACACCGGACCTCAACCAGAGTTCCACAGAGCTCTTGAAGGGAAGAATGTGCGCAGAGCCGCGGAGCTCTTGGAATGCCAGTTTTCCTTGTGAGGAGAAAGTTGTATGCATCTGCCTCTGGTGTAACACAATAATCCCAACTTCTGTCTGGACTTTGCAGTCCATAAGCTTCATGACGAGAACCCCAATATTCCCTAGCCATTCCCACTAAAATAATCCCTTGTTTTGAATTCTTGCCACAAGCCCTTTTCTGATATGTGTTTATGCTTCTTTTCCTACAGGAGGAAATACAAGAAAACATCCCAAAGGTAAGAAAGTCTGTCTGGAAAAGGGGAACTTTCCAGACCAGGATTGCCTGAGTCATGGGTGGCCCACATCCGGCTCCTGGTTGACTGGAACTGTAATAAACAGTCTCTTGGTTCCTTCTCAGTGAGTTGCCTTCTTTATCTCTTGATCGTTACTGCTGCTGTAATTAAAAATTGATTGCTGGCATCTAGTGTGTCACAGTGGGATAGATGGCTTCACAGGAGAGTGGATCCTGTGGCTTCACAGGCTAATTTCTGCTGTGCTGTCTGGTGATTTAACTAAAATCTGGACCAAAGAGGGATTGAACTGGCAGAAGCCGAACATTTATGGGCAGGGAGCACAACATAGTCTTTAACTACATTTGTAATGCTTGAATTCTCCTTTGCTTCAAGTTCTCCTTTGATTCACTGACAGAATGCATTTGAGCTTAGAGCATAAGTTCTAATTCCTTCAAAGGCAAAAATAGCCTTTTTTTCTGAATCTGTTGAGTGATTTGAAGTAAAATCTGTGTGCCCATTGCATGGAAAGATGAGGCTCTGGCCTGGCTGTGGGCTGTGTTTTCCAGCCTTGTTGATCTAAGAGTCCTTAAAAGGATCAGGTGAATGGTAGTACTGATATGTGTGGTCATTAAACTTCAGACTTGCATCAATTATATTTATAATTCTAGAACAGCCTAATTGGTGTTTGAGTGCATGGAGGCCTGTGTCTGAGGGAAGCCCTTTGCTGTGTGTATATAATGTGAACTCTCCGTCAGAGTGCCCTTTGACAGATGCTGGTCTAAAGAAGCAACATGTTTATTTGAGCCTGGTCATGGGAGGGTGAATGATGTCTCTAAATAATATGAGAATGAGGTGAGCTTAGGAAATGTCATGTGTGCTCTAGAGGAATTTACTCATTGGTTCATCTTTATATATATACATATTTAATGTGTATAACATGATTTATACTATGCATATATATAGGAAATTAATTACTAGTGTCAAACAAATTTACATGTCCATCACCTTGCCTATTTAATTTATTTATTTATTTATTTTTTTTTCTGTGTTTAGGACAGGGTCTATAGGGTCTACAGGGTCTCACTACATAGATCCAACTTGTAATGATTCTTCTGTTTTCAGCCTCCCAAGTGCTGGGATTATATTTGTGCACCACCATGCCTAGTCTCAGTTGCTATCTCAGTGTGCCCTGGGGGCGGGGCTGGCACGGCACACCTGAGATTGAACCCTGGCCATATGGTCTGCCTAAGTAGGCATGTTAGTCTGCTGAGATATCAGGCTGGCCTTATTGGTTCATCTTGAATACACTTTTATATTAGTTTTATTGTGACTTTCTTTTTTATTTGGCTGAACTGGGGATTGAACTCAGGCCCTAGAGCTTGCCAGGGAAGCACTTATTCTACTGAGCCATCTCCCCGGCCCCTATTGTGACTTTCATAAATCATTTGGATTGTAATGGTACATGAGGCCTTCCATGACCTCTTTTATTTTGTTAGTGTCATCTCTGGCCACTTCTAACCTTGCTCTTTTTTCTCTAAACTTGAACTATGATTTCTCAACAAAGTTATGACTCTAGTTGTCCAGATGATCTGGGATGCTTTCTTAGTAAGAGCTTTGGAAACTTATGGTGGACATATTCATCAGATGCTTATCTAAGGGTATATACTTGTGTGTTAGGGTGGTTCTCCTGAGTCAGATGGGAAAAGGTGTGTTCACTCCAGAGTTATCCAAGAAACAAATCAGGATGGGCCAGGGAGTGGTGGACAGGGCCTGCCGTGATGGTTCATTCTGTCTTCTCAACACACTGTGTTGAATCTTTCCTCTGTGTCTTTGCATATGCTGTTCTCCTTTTCCCAACTAAACCCTGGTCCATCCTGTAGTTAATACTCTGAGATTTCTGGATTTTCTGTTCTACAGCTGCCTAATGATAAGGATTTCTGTACTATATTTTCTATTGTCTTGTTATTCATCTGCCACGGTGCCAGGAACATGCTAGGCCCTTAGTAAATATTGTTAAGTGCATGATTACTGTTCTTAGGAACTGCACTCTTAAATTGATTTTTTCTGACTATGGATGATAACAACAGGGAGAAGTGCCATAACTATATCAAACCCAGTTTTTAGTGTTGAGTTGATTAAAGTGTAAACTTAAGATATTTCTTCATAATCTATAGGATTCTTATTTTACAAACAGAGTAAATTTTCTCCAGAATTTTTCCAGAATTAATTCTGGATGGGGCAGGATTGGGATGGCATGATTCAATAAAATCTACACACAAGTGAGTGCTATTTCTTATGTGCCGGTGTGCCTAATATACTTAAAAAAGTAATCTTCAGGTGTCAACCACTCTAGTATTGGTGCCCTCTTATTAAGAAGACACTTAGGTAATATAATTAATGCAAGCACCAAAATCTTTATTTTGAGTTATTGAGAAGTTGTGTTTTTTTTTGTTTTGTTTTTTGTTTTTTCTTTGTGGCCAGCTCAGCCTGCCCTGGGGGTTGGGCTGGCATGACATATGGTGCCTGGGAATGAATCACGGTCCCTGTGCTTTGCCTAAACTTGTCTTCGCAGCTGCTTTAGACTGCTGAGCTATCTCGCCGGCTCCTTGAGAATAGTTCTAAAGCACATTCTGAAGAAATATTATTGTTTAGGCATTTTGTTCGCTGATCATTTAATGCCAGTAATTCAGTTTAAAAGGTCAGTTTTTTTGGTGTGTGTGTGTGTGTGTGTTTGTGTGTGTGTTTGACTTCAACATCACAGATTTAAACAAATTACATCCAAATAATACATTCTAATGCAATTAAAATCTGTCAGCGGGTATCAACAATGGCATGTTTGATGACCATTTTAATCTCCTCTTTTTCTAGTGAGCACTATTTCCTGGTGGAGATTCCTAAGTCTTTTGATTTCCAAATAAAATAATAGCTTAATGGAGTGAGTGGTATTAAAATTAGATATGCAGTAAGCAGTACACAAGTCATTGAGAGAAAGATTTGCCAAGACTTCAAGGCTTCTCGGATGTCTCTACACTTTGCTAAATATAGTTAACTTACACAGATGACTGAATGATTCTGTCTCATTCAGGTTTGTTGGATGCGTGGTAGTGACTGCACGTGAGCCATGGAGCAGGATGAGAATTAATCACTCAGTTTAAAGGGCATGATTGACTTCAGCATTAAAAAGTGATTTGTCATTTTCACATGTAGTTAACCTGGGTATTAGAGATTTCAGTTTCCTCAATTTCATTTTAAAGAGAGATAGATGTGGTAGGAGTTTAACAAAAGAGCCGTTCAAACCTGGCAAGGTTCACATTATTATGCTGATTTTTTGAGAGCATATTTTTGCATATCTGATGTGAGTGTGGCTGCATTTTTTTTTTTTTTTTTGGCTGCATTTTTTATGTCACTGTGATTTAAAAAATGGAACCACCTTGAACCTGCTTCACTGAAGAGATTGAAGTGAAAATTAATAGAGGATTGGCTTTAGCTTTTCTATTTTTATCTTTCCTATGAGATAGATCCATGTTCTACTAATATGTCCTTGAACAACGATCCATTTCTGACTTAGTAGTTAAAGCAGCTGTTTTATTTTGCTTGTAGTTTAATGGGTCTGGGGTGCAGGAAGAACTTGGCTGTGTGGTTTGAAAGTGATCCAGCCAGTGTCAGCTGGAGCTGGGGGATGGAGGAGTTGCTTTCAAGATACTGTCTTCATTTACATGTTAAGAGATGTTCTGGTTTAGATCTAAAATATTCCCTCAAGGTCTCACGTGTTAAGAGGTGGGGCACTTGGAAACTGGGCCTTAGGGGTGCTATGCTTATCAGTGGATAAATTTATAGTTCATCCATCTGTAGTGAATGTGCTGTTAAGGCGTGGATCACTGAGGGCGTGACTTGGAAGTCGGTATCCTTCCCCAGGCTCCTCTCTCTTTTTGCTCCTGACTGCTTGGTGAGTTGACAAGCTTTCTTCCACTAGGCCCTTCTGCCATATTTCTTTCATGGAATCAGGCATCTGTGGACTTAGCCTGAAACCATGAGTGAAATCAACTTCTCTTCCTTTAAGTTATGGAAATTGAGTATTTTGTCCTGGTGATGGGAAAGTGGCCAATTCAGAAAATCGGTGCTGGAGAAGGGAGGCTATTTCTGTGTCTATATTGGACCACATAGTTCATGTTATGGAATACAGCACGGTAGACTGGCAGCTCTGGAGATAATTTACCAAGGCAAGGTTAAAGAAGAAAAGGTACACTGTATAGCAGCAGGCAAGATGACAAAAGAATCTTTGCCCCAAACCCAGGGAGATGGCTTGCTTTTATGGGTGATTACTTCCCCTTTGGGCTTTCTCTATTGACAGTGGATCATCAGTGTGGGATATCAATTTAGAATACCTTATGATTGGGGCTTTTTGTCTGAACTTCTCAGAACTCCTCGAGGTATAATGGTCATGCCCAACTATATCTGTGAGCCCAGACTCTTTTACTGTAAAATAGCTTGAGGACTATGCACCTCAAATTGGAGCCCACAATTCAGAAACTTTGGGGGTGGGTTCATGGGAGGTGTTTGGGAAAGTTTGGAGATTTGGGATAGAGAATACCCAGGATTCCGTGAGCAGAACTTGATGAATTTTTCTGGACAGAGCTCAAAAGAACAGAGTGCTGATAAGCATGCAGGCAGCAAAGGTCAGGCTTTTAAGGTTTTGAACAGTAGACTAGAGACCATGCTTGTTATATTCTGGCAAAAATCTTGTCTATATTTTGCCAATTTCCTAAGAGTTTGTGTGAGCCTGAATTTAAAGGTGGTGGGTTAAGTGATTTGGTGGAGGAAATTTTAGGAATACCAATTGTTCATGCTGAAGCATGGCTACTCATGTCTTCATTTAGACCTACACTGAGAATCAGAAATGATAAGGCCAAGGTGAATGACATGGAAGTTTTAAGAATAATTCATAAAGTGCGAGAAAGACCTTAGCCCAAAAGAATATTTTTATTTTTTTGATATATCTGCGT